GAATGTGGACCCAATCACGTGAAAAGGCCCCCCAGTCTGGGCAGACCCAGGGGCTCACATCTATCATCCCAGCACTTTGGGAGGACGAGGCGTGTGGATCACCTGAGGTCAGGAGTTCGAGACCAGCCTGGCCAACATGGGGAAACCCAGTTTCTAATAAAAATATAAAAATTAGCCAGGCATAGTGGTGCACACCTGTAATCCCAGCTACCTGAGGCAGGAGAACTGCTTGAACCCGGGAGGTGGAGGTTGCAGTGAGCCGAGATTGCACCACTGCAGTCCAGCCTGGGCAACAGAGCAAAACTCCATATACAAAAAATGTAAAAAAATAAAAAAGTAAATAAATAAAGACCTCCCCAGTCTACACACATAGGACCCCCATCCTCATCAAGCAAAAGGAATCCAACTTACAACCCCATCTCCATGAGAGATGGGTGTCCCCAATCACAAGTAATCACTTACCTGCAGAGTGAAGGGGATCCCTCATCCCACACAGATATGAGACCACCCCCATTTCATACAAGGAAGGAAAATCCTGTCACAAAGGGAAGGGGACCCTCTTCCCCATGCAGAGCCGAGACCTTCACCCTACACACAGGGGAACCCCCATTCCACACAAAAAAGAGAGCCTCCTCGTCACACAGAGATGGCCCCTCCTCCTCCCAACCTTACAAATCCCCAATACCCATTCAGAAAAGAAGAGCCCCATCCATCCCCACACAGGGAGGGGGTCCCGGAGCCACCTGGTTTTGCCTCAGGCATGTTGAAGCACCTCCTCCCGCTCCTCTGACCGCAGCTGCCTCTCGCTAAGCCCTAGGGAGGACAGGTGGGCCCCCAGGGGGAGCCTTTTAAGGAGTCCTGAGACTCCCAGAAGGCTCCAGGAGGTATGAGACCTTGGGGCCGCCCCACATTCCGCCTGCATGTTCTAAAGGGCGAGAAATAACAGCTGGACCAAGAGAGATGGCTGAGAGCCAGGTCCCGAGGGAGGAAGGGCTGGGGCTCGGACACCTGGGTCTGACGGGGGAGGGAGGCTGGGGCTTGGACTTCCAGGGTCTCAGGGAGGAGGGGGCTGGGTGCCTGGACCCCTGAGTCTGGGAGCAGAAGCAACCGGGGTCCCAGATTCTTGGGTTTTCTAGAAAGGAGCGCCTGGACGCCTGGCTCCCAGGAGGAAGAAGAGGAAGAGATTGAGAGTCTCAAGGGGGCAAGGGCTGCGGGCCAGAGCTCTGGCATGAAGCAGGGCGGGGAGGAACAGGGTCTAGGAAGCCATTCTTAGCATCTGCAAGTCAGGAGTTTTCGGGAAACCGGAGCCGGGAGGGAGGGTCCGGTTTCCCAGCGTAGGCAGGACGACGGAGGGGGGAGGAAGTCCCTGTGCCTCCGGGAAGGGCGCCGGGGCTCTGGGACTCCGGAGTCTCGCGCCCCGGCCTAGGCAAACCCGAAGGCCTGGGCTCGGGCCACCTGGGACGCGGACTGGCCGCCGCCCCTCCTGGGACCGCTCCCCGCGACTCTTCCCGGAGCGGGCACCGGACGCGGGTAGGGGTCGGGCGTCCCCGGCGGGGGCGGGCGAGAGGCTGGGAAGGCCCTGGAGGGCTGCCCGGACGTTGGCGCCCTTCCCGGCAGGGAGACCCGCGACTTTCTGAATGGGGAGGCGCTGGACGCGGCGGGCGCCGAGGGGGCGGGGCCTGGGGAGGGCGGGGCCTGGGGGACACCAGGTGTTGTGGGGGGGGAGGGGGGAAAGGGTGCTGAGGACTTAGGGTTAAGGTGGGGGACCACCTAGCTAGTAACGCGGCGCGAGGGACCCGGTGTGAGGAAAAACAAGTCCCTTCTCTCTTTCTTCCTACTCATCTTCCCACCCCTCCTTTTCCAAAACCCCCTACGAGCCGGAAAGTTCTGCGCCTCCAGGGAGCATCAGCCAATCCGACGTCAGCCCCGTGTGACGTCACGGGTTGCCAGGCAGACTGCCACGGCGCTCCGGAGAGCCCCGCGCAGTTGGGGAGGGGCTCGGGCCTGCAGTGGCGCGGCCACCTGGAGCCTCTTCCCCGCCCCGCGCCGCCAGCCGGAGGGCTCAATTCCGAGGGCAGGGGACGGAGACCCAGAAGGAAGGGGAAGCCGGGAGGAGGTGGAGACATTCAATTGGCAGGAAGAGAGAAAGACATAAAACAAACGGAACACTCTGTGCCTGCACGTCAAGCCTCTTATTTCTCGGCATTCAAGTTTCAGACGGGTTTTGCTGTATGATCTCTTTGCGTTTTTTGTTTTTGAGACAGGGTCTCGCTCTGTCGCCCAGGCTGGAGGGGAGTGGCAGGATCACCGCTCACTGCAGGCTCGACTTCCCGTACTCAAGTGATCCTCCCACCTCAGAAGTTCAGAGTAGCTGGAACTGCAGGCATACGTCACCACACCCGGCTAATTTTGTATTTTTCGTAGACGGGTGGGCGGCGGCGGCGGCGGGGGGGGGGGGGCATGCACTGTCTTGCCCAGGCTGGTTTCGAACTCCTGGACTCAAGCTATCCTCCTGCCTCGGCCCCCACAAAGTGTTGGGATTAGTATTGGGATTATAGAGCCACCCACCGCGCCAGCATGTAATTGTCTCTTTGAACGCCCCTGTCATCATCACCCGTGACGGCTCTGACAAAGCCTGTGGTCCCAGTGGAAGGGCACGACTGCAGTCCCTCACAAAAGGTCCCAGGAGGTCTGTCTACCTCAATTTGTCATACTTTATTCTACATTTAGGGTGACAATGATAGCTTTTATAAAAAGTACCTTCTTTGTTGCAGGGGGCCCTGGGGAGGACGTTTTGCCCGCCCTTCCTCCCTCCGCCTCCCCACTCCTCTTGAGGGCAGGTCCCAGCCTTGGCTCTGCCACCAGCCACTGTGTGCCTCCACATGGAAGTCTGGTGTCTCTGGGTCACTAGTATTCCCTCCTCCTCCTCGTCATCGTCCTCCTTCTCCTCCTCCCAGGAGTGGGGTGGATTTCAGGTGATGTGTCAAAGGCTCAACAGGTCTGCAAAGGCTTTTTTTTTGAGAAGGAGTTTCATTCTTGTTGCTCAGAACCAGAGTATAGGGCGAGATCTCGGCTCACTGCAACCTCCACCTCCCGGGTTCAAGCGATTCTCCTGCCTCAGCCTCCCAAGTAGCTGGGACTACAGGCATGCACCACCACACCTGGCTAATTTCGTATTTTTGGTAGAGACAGGAGTTTCACCATGTTGGTCAGGGTGGTCTTGAACTCCTGACCTCAGGTGATCCACCTGCACCGGCCTCCCAAAGTGCTGGGATTACAAGCATGAGCCACTTCACTGGGCCACAAGGGCTTTTTGAGATCTTCCTCCTTCTCTCCCTTTTTCACAGAAGGGACAAACTGAGGTTGGGACGGAGCGAGTCATTCACCCTAGACACCTGCCCACCCCCACCCCACTCCCCCCACTCCCCTCTCCCTGGGCTCAAGGACCTATGGCCTCTTGGCTGACCAAACAGGCTTGAGAAGCTGCTGGGGTAAGACAGCCAGGATGGCAGCCACTGGGGTAGCTTGGAGAACAAATACTCCATTAAGACAGGCTACTGGCCTGTTCCAGCACCCCACCCCTCACCGAAAACTATCCCACTCTCTCCAGATCGTCCAGAGTTTTAAGTGAAGGCAGAAATCTGCATTATGCAAAGTCTCCCTATTTGGAATGGTCTGCTGTTTGTTTTTTGTTTTTAAGACAGCCTCTGGCTCTGTCACTCAGGCCAAGTTCAGTGGCACAATTACAGCTCACCACAGCCTCAACTTCCTGGGCTCAAGCGATCCTCCCACCTCAGACTCCTGAGCAGCTGAGACCACAGGTGTGCACCACCATGCCCAGCTAATTTTTTTGCTTTGTAGAGATAAAGTCTCATTATGTTGCCCAGGCTGGTCTTGAACTCCGTGTTCAAGCGACCCCTGCCTGGGCCTCCCAAAGCGTTGGGATTACAGGTGTGAGCCACTGCCTAGCTGATGGTCTACTGTGAATGTGGATCCTTCATACCTCCACTGCCACATGCTACAGTGAACTAAAGAGACCACCACCAGGGACAGGTAAGGGGTGACCACCTTGAGACCTCTGGTTAGAAATAACATGGGTGGGGCCGGATGCAGTGGCTCACACCTGTAATCCCAGCACTTTGGGAGGCCAAGGCAGGCAGATCAGGAGGTCAGGAAATTGAGACCATCCTGGCTAACATGGTGAAACCCCATCTCTACTAAAAATACAAAAAAAATTAGCCAGGCATGGTGGCATGCGCCTGTAATCCCAGCTACTTGGGAGGCTGAGGCGGGAGAATCGCTTGAACCCAGGAGGCAGAGGTTGCAGTGAGCCTAGATTGTGTCACTGCACTTCAGCCGAGAATCCGTCTCAAAAAAAAAAAAAAAAAGAAAGAAAGAAAGAAAAGAAAAGAAAAAGAAATTTTTTTTTTTTTTTTTGAGACAGAGTTTCGCTCTTGTTACCCAGGCTGGAGTGCAATGGCGCGATCTCGGCTCACCGCAACCTCCGCCTCCTGGGCTCAGGCAATTCTCCTGCCTCAGCCTCCTGAGTAGCTGGGATTACAGGCACGTGCCACCACGCCCAGCTAATTTTTTGCACTTTTAGTAGAGACGGGGTTTCACCATGTTGACCAGGATGGTCTCGGTCTCTCGACCTCGTGATCCACCCGCCTCGGCCTCCCAAAGTGCTGGGATTACAGGCTTGAGCCACCGCGCCCGGCGCAAGAAAAAGAAATTAATAGGTGGGAGGCTGCCATGATCACCCAGAAATCAATCTCATGGCCAGAGTGGTTCTCAGCATGGCCACAGGGAGGGCCACCAGGAAGGGTGGGGTCCCTCAAGGGCATATCAGATGGAGATCCTAGGAGGTCTCAGATGTGATTGGAGGATCCCAGATATCACAAGGGTGTCCCTGACAGGGCCCAGACCAGACACGTTTCACTGACTCCCCCATCCCCCACCCCAGACCGGCTCAAGAGTGATTTCAGACATGACAAAAGGGCCTCGGAGGAGCCCTCGATGTGATTGGGGAACTCCAGACACATAAAAAAGGGACAGCAGAATGGTTCCAGAGAATTCGGGGATCTCACAGAGGAGGAGACAGATGTGACAACACAGCCATAGATGGGCGAAGAGGGCTGAGACAATAATGGCTCTCAGAGGGCCCCAGACATAACTAGGAGATCTCATATCTGACAAGAGGGACCCCTGGACAGGGCTCAGGGCTGCTGCAGGGCCCCCAGCCCAGATGAGACTGAGGGTTTACAGACACACAGGGATCTTAAAAAGGTCCCAGGTCTCCTCGCTGGGTTATCAGATATCACAAGAAAATCCCAGAGAAGCTCTTGGGATTCTGGAAGAACTGCCACCCCGCCTCGCCTAGTATAGCGGTCCATAGGTCCTGTCACCCAAAACATGAGGATCCGGGGAGTCCGTACATGATAAAGAAATCCCAGAGGGACCCCAGGCACAAGTGAGGAATCCCCGACGGCCCCGGGCTGGGCTTGGGGGCTGTGGCAGGGCAGCGCTCTCCCCACCGCAACACGTGCGGATGCGTTAAGTCCTATCGCCTAGGCTGTGGGGGCGCCGTTTTTCTTCCGAGGGGGTCCTGGCTGGGATGTGAGGTACCCCAGCGGCTCGGCAGGTGGGAGCCTCGGTGCGCTCAGGCCCGGCGGGCTGCGGGCAGCAGCGCGCTGTCGAACTGGTAGGTGAGCTTGCGCTTGACCTTGCGGATCTCACCGGTCTTGGCGTAGTTGCGGAGGGCGCGCGCCAGCTTCTGGTAGGTCATGCGCTTGCGGTTCCCCTTCTGCTGGCCCCAGCGGCGCGCCAGGAGCTCCTTGTGCTTGGAGGAGAACTGGAAGACGCCGGCGCCCGGCTCCACCCACCACACACACTCACGCATGTCCCCGCGCGTCAGCAGCCCCAGCAGGAACTGGTACAGGCGCAGCTTCTTGCGGGTGCCTGCGGTGGGGTCGGGGGCACGCGTTAGGTGAGGGGTCCCTAAGGCCCCGCTTTCCCCACCCAGCCTCCTCCGCGACTCCCACCCAGACTCCATCTCCTAGATCTGAGAAGTGGGGTGAGGGAGGTGGCTGTTACAGACACCCGGCTCTGCGGCCCTCACCACGGGAGGGGGGGGCAAGTCACTCCCCCCCACCCGAAGCTGTCAGCCCCAGGCCCCCTCCATGTTCTGTGCTTTAATTTTCGGGATTTATATCTGTCCTGCCTTCCGCCCTGCAGCCAGCACGTAATATTACATATGTGTTGAGCCCGTGGATGAAAGAATCTGTGAAATGGGTTGACAGCGCTGCTCAAAGGCCTATAAGGGAGAAGCAAACAGATCTGGAGGCAGTTTGCAATGGCCTGGCCATCTCTCCAGCTTCTAGTCTCCCAGCCTCTCAGCTCAAAGAGGAACAGGGTCCCCGGAGAGGCCAGGACACCTGACTCCTGGGCTCCTAGGTTTCTTTCTTTCTTTCTTTCTTTTTTTGAGACAGAGTCTTGCTGTCGCCCAGGCTGGAGTTCAGTGGTGTGCGATCTTGGCTCATTACAGCTGCCTCCTCCTGGTTTCAAGCAATTCTCCTGCCTCAGCCTCCCCAGTAGTTGGGACTACAGACATGCGCAACCACACCCGGCTTATTTTTAGTAGAGACGGGATTTCTCCATGTTGGCCAGGCTGGTCTCAAACTCCTGGCCTCAGGTGATCCACCCACCTCGGCCTCCCAAAGTGCTGGGACTACAGGCGTGAGCCACCACCACACCCGGCCAATAACTGGGAGTTTTCAAAGCAGGGCACTGGCTACAAGAATCCCATCTCTGCTGTTTCACAGCAGTGTGACCTTGGGGTGGTAACATAGTGACATCTTAATTTTTTTTTTCAAGGCAGGGTCTTGTTCTGCCACCCAGGATGGAATGCAGTGGAGCAATCACAGTTCACTGCAACCTCATCCTCCTGCCCCAGCCTCCCCAATAGCTGGGACTACAGCTACGCACCACCATGCCTGGCTAATTGTTTTATTTTTTGTAGAGATGGGGTCTTGCTATGTTGCTCAGGCTGGTCTTGAACTCTTGGGCTCAAGCAATCCTCCCACCTCAGCCTCCCAAAATGCTGGGATTACAGATGTGAGCCACTGTACCCGGCTTGAATTCTTATAATTTTAGGCTGCCTCAGCATTCATGTAAAATATTAAGTTGGAGGCTGGGCACGGTGGCTCACGCCTCTAATGCCAGCACTTTAGAAGGCCAAGGTGGGCGGATCACCTGAGGTCAGGAGTTCGAGACCAGCCTGGCCAACATGATGAAACTCCGTCTCTACTAAAAATACAAAAATTAGCTAAATATGGTGGCTGATGACTATAATCCCAGCTACTTGGGAGGCTGAGGCAGAATTGCTTGAGCCCAGGAGGCAGAGTTTGCTGTGAGCTGAGACCATGCCATGGCACTCCAACCTGGGCACCAAGAGTGAAACTCCATCTCAAAACAATAAAAAATAAAACAAAAATTGGACTTTCTCATGCTGGAAATGGGGCCGTCCCCCTCGGCACTTTCCAGGTCCAGATCTACGTCCCCAGTTCCTCAGTGTGGGTGCCCCAGACATCTCCTTTATGCAGCTGCCTCCTGGGGACCGCCTCCCTGCGGGACAGCCACGGACAGCCTACTTGATGGCCATGCATGGACTGGGCAGATGCCTCAGTGACCCCCTCTCAGGCACAGCATGACCTCCTGGAACTTGATCCTGCTTGCTTTCAACCCACCAATTATGGTATTTATTTGTTTGTGTGTTTGTTTTGAGATGGAGTCTTGCTCTATTGCCCAGCCTGGAGTGCAGTGGCATGATCTTGGCTCACTGCAACCTCTACCTCCTGGATTCATGAGATTCTCCTGCCTAGGCCTCCTGAGTAGCTGGGATTATAGGTGACCACCACCATGCCTGGCTAATTTTTATATTTTTAGTAGAGACGGGGTTTCACCATGTTGACCAGGCTGGTCTTGAACTCCTGATGTTAGGTCATCAGCCTCCCAAATGCTGGGATTATAGGGATGAGCCACCGTTCCTGGCCTGAACCACCAATTAAAACCCCGCTGGCCGGGCGCGGTGGCTCACACCTATAATCCCAGCACTTTGGGAGGCTGAGGTGTGTGGATCATGAGGCCAAGAGATCGAGACCAACCTGGTCAACATGGTGAAACCCCGTCTCTACTAAAAATACAAAAATTAGCTGGGCATGGTGGTGTGCACCTGTAGTTCCAGCTACTCAGGAGGCTGAGGCAGGAGAATTGCTTGGACCCAGGAGGCAGAGGTTGCGGTGAGCTGAGATCACGCCATTGCATTCCAGCCTTGGTAACAAGAGCGAAACTCCATCTCGAAAAAAAAAAAAAAAAAAAAACCCACAGGAAACCTGTTGCCTTGGACCAATAAAGGCATCAGTCCACTGGTCCCTCTTTCTCCCTCCCTGCCTGCACTCCCTGACCCCTGTGTGTGTGCAGCCTCCAGGCGTGCCATGTATGCCCAGGACCTATAAGCAATAAAATATTTATTTCCGGCTGGGTGAGGTGGCTCATGACTGTAACTTCAGCAATTTGGGAGGCTGAGGTGGGAGGATCACGTAGCCTCAGGAGTTGGAGATCAGCCTGGGCAATGTGTCGAGACCTAACCTCTACAAAAATTTAACAAATTAGTCAGATGTGGTGGTACACGCCTGTGGTCCCACCTACTCAGGAGGCTGAGGCAGGAGGATTGATTGAGCCCGGAAGTTCAAAGCAGTAGTCAGCTGGGATTGTGCCATGCACTTCAGTCTGGGTGACAGATGGAGACCTTGTCTCAAATAAATTTTTTAAAATATTTATTTCCATCTTGTGTGTTTCCTGGTCATGGGAGAGGTCCTCTCCATCTTAAATATCCTAAGTTAAAACAGCTGACTTAACTTCTCTGAACCAAAGCCTCCTTAGGCACAAATGAAGCTGTTTAGGCAGGCACAGTAGCTCACGTCTGTAATCCCAGCATTTTGTGAGCCCAGGACTGGTGGATCACCTGTGGTCAGGAGTTTGAGACCAGCCTGGCCAACATGGCAAAACCCCATCTCTACTAAAAAATACAAAAATTAGCTGGGCATGGTGTGGGTGCCTATGATCCCAGCTACTTTGGAGGCTGAGGCAGGAGAATTGCTTGAACCCGGAAGGTGGAGGTTGCAGTGAGCCAAGATGGCACCACTGAACTCTAGCCTGGGCAACAGAGCAAGACTCTGTCTCAAAAAAAAAAAAAAAAAAAAGAGGCCGGGCGCGGTGGCTCAAGCCTGTAATCCCAGCACTTTGGGAGGCCGAGGCGGGTGGATCACGAGGTCCAGAGATCAAGACCATCCTGGTCAACATGGTGAAACCCCGTCTCTACTAAAAATACAAAAAATTAGCTGGGCTTGGTGGCACGTGCCTGTAATCCCAGCTACTCAGGAGGCTGAGGCAGGAGAATTGCCTGAACCTAGGAGGCGGAGGTTGCGGTGAGCCGAGTTCGCGCCATTGCACTCCAGCCTGGGTAACAAGAGCGAAACTCCAGCTCAAAAAAAAAAAAAGAAAGAAAGAAAAGAAACCAAGGAGCCCAGGAGTCAGGTGCCCTGGCTCTCCCGAACCCTGTCCTGCTTTGGGCTGAGAGGCTGGGAGACCAGGAGCTGGAGAAATGGCCAACTTCTAAAAAAAAAATTTTTAATGAGGCTGAATTTTTTTTTTTTTTTTTTTGAGACAAGTCTTGCTCTGTCACCCAGGCTGGAGTGCAGGGGTGCGATCTCGGCTCACTGCAACCTTTGCCTCCTGGGTTCAGGCAATTCTCCTGACTCAGCCTCCCAAGTAGCTGGGACTACAGGCATGCACCACCACACCCTGCTATTTTATTTTTTACTTAATTTATTTATTTTTTTGAGACGAAGTCTCGCTCTGTTGCCAGGCTGGAGTGCAGTGACTCGATCTCAGCTCACTGCAACCTTTGCCTTCCGGGTTCAAGTGATTCTCCCGCCTCAGCATCCTGAGTATCTGGAATTACAGGCATATACCACCATGCCCCAATACTTTTTCTTTTTTTTTGAGACAGAGTTTTGATCTTGTTGCCCAGGCTGGAGTGCAATGGCATGATCTTGACTCACTGCAACCTCTGCCTCCCAGGTTCAATCGATTCTCCTGCCTCAGCCTCCTGCGTAGCTGGGACTATCGGCATGCACCACCAAGCCCAGCTGATTTTTAATTTTTTTTTAAATTAAAATAATTTTTTTTAGGCTGGAGTGCAGTGGCACAATCTCGGCTCACTGCAACCTCCACCTCTCGAGCTGAAGCAATTCTCTGCCTCAGCCTCCTAAGTAGCTGGGATTACAGGCGCCTGCCACCATGCTCAGCTAATTTTTTTTTGTATTTTTAGTAGAGATGAAGTTTCATCATCTTGGCCAGGCTGGTCTTGAACTCCTGAACTTGTGATCCACCCGCCTTGGCCTCCCAAAGCGCTGGGATTACAGGCGTGTGCCACCATGCCCAGCCTGATTTTTGTATTTTTAGTAGAGACCGGATTTTGCCATGTTGGCCAGGCTGGTCTCGAACCCCTGACCTCAGGTGATCCGCCCGCCTCAGCCTCCCAAAGTGCTGTGATTACAGGTGTGAGCCACCGCGCCAAGCCTGTGTGTTGAGTTTTACAGTCCATTGTAAAACAGGTAGTGCCAGGTGCTTCACAAGGCACTTTACAATTATGAGCTCACTTAATCTCCCTCATAACCCCGTGAGATAGGGATGATGACAATGATACTCATTTTACAGATGAGAAACTGAGGCCCAGATACAGAAAGTAACGACTGATCCCAGCTTCCCTGGGGTTGAGCATAAAGGATGTCGGGCACTGGGGCAGGGCAAGGGTTGAACCATTGGGGCTGATAGCGCGATTATTTCTGTTGCTGTGGTGTTGGGAATGATGGTGAAGGGGCTGACTTATTGAAAAACTCACTCTGTGCCTGGCACTGCTGTCCTATTTACACATATTTTCTCATTTAATCCTCCCAACGACCTCATGAGGGTAGACACTATCACCTCCATCCCTATCGTACAGGCAGGAAACCTAGGCACAGAGAGGTAGAGGCACTTACCCAAAGTCACACAGCCAGCAGGTGGTGTGGATCTGGGAGCTGCTCTGAGCGATGGAGTACATATCGGAGCCCAGGAAACCATGGTGCTTTCAGCCCCCTCCCCCACCTCCAGCTGGCATCTCCCCCACCCCAGCCACTCCCGCATACCTGCCTCGGATCCCTTCCCCTCAGGGCCAGCCATGAGGGCCTCATCCGACTCGCTGTCCGAGACCTCCAGGGCTGGGCTGTCCAATGGTAAGTCTTCCTCCTCTGACAGCACGGGGCTGGGGTACGGGGCATATGCCGGGGGACCCAGGGTCTGCGGAAGGTCAGGGTCACCTGCACGTCCAGGCCCCCTTCTCTCCCTCCACTCCCTCCTCTCAGGCCCTGGGGTGGCCCTCCTGGCTCTGGTCTCCGTCTTTGCTGATAGCCTGGTCTTTGGCCTTTGTTTGGATCACCACACTGTGGCCAGAGGGCACCTGAGGTTCCTCCTTAGAGCAGACCCAACACTGCTAAAGCCAGTCCGCCCTGTCCCTGGCCTCCTGTCACTACCTCTCTTGACTCACTCGTTCAGTGGGGCAGAAATGGCACGGAACCTGGGAGGTGGCTGCAGGGGTCACTGTGTGCAGTCTCAGTACAGTGCCTGGCACCCAGCAAACCTCAACCAAATGACCAAGCTTGAGTTTTCTTTTTTTTCTTTTTTGAGACAGAGTTTCGCTCTTTTTGCCCTGTCTGGAGTGCAATGGCGCGATCTCGGCTAACTGCACCGTCCGCCCCCCGGGTTCAAGTAATTCTCTTGCCTCAGCGTCCCAAGTAGCTGGGATTGCAGGCATGCACCACCAGACCCAGCTAATTTTGTATTTTTAGTAGACATGGGGTTTCTCCATGTTGGTGAAGCTGGTCTCGAACTCTCAGCGTCAGGTGATCTGCCCTCCTTGGCCTCCCAAAGTGCTGGGATTACAGGCATGAGCCACCGCACCTGGCCCTTCTTTTATTTATTTATTTATTTTTGACACAGGGTTTTGCTCTGTTTGCCCAGGCTGGAGTGCAACGGCGTGATCCCAGCTCAGCACAGCCTCAACCTTCTGAACTCAAGCAATCCTCCTCCCATCTCAGCCTCCCAAGTAGCTGGAATCACAGGCGTGCACCACCATGCCTGGCTCGGGCTTGATTTTAACTGTCCCCTTACCACTCACCTGGCTGGCGAAGTCCTCCATGGGGTACGCGTGGAGGCCAGGCCCTGGGGCCTCCAGGCTGGGGGTCAGTTCAAGGTTCCCTGCAGGGCTGTAGGTGGAGGGTCCATAGCAGAGCTGGGCAGTCTGGGGGTGGCTATAAGAAGCTGCTGCAGGGTCGAAGGCTTCATAGGGGGCAGCTGGGACAGGTGGGGCCACAGTCCAGTCCCACAGGGAGTCTGGGGGAAGGGCACTGAGTCAGGAGCTGGGAGGTCTGACAGAGGCCTCCTCCCAGTCTAAGCCCCCAGCACAGAGAGGCCATTGTAGGCTGTGCAAATCTTTGACCCCAGGATTTGCATGAGGGAGCGGATGGGTGGGAGAGGAAAGGGGAGGAGGGCTATAGGCCTGGGCCACCTTTATCCTGTTGTGCTAGGCGATGACCTCCCCTGGGCCTCCGCTCCCCTATCTGTGAAATGGGCCTCAAGGCAGGAAGGGCCCTGGGCTGGGGTCACTCACCGGGAGCCCCCTCTGAGTCAGGATAGCTGGAATGCTTGCAGCTGTCCAAGTCATAGAAGACGCCATCTGGGTACTAATACAGGGTGCGGGTGGGAAGAGGGGTCATCTCAGGCCTTGGGGAGTCCCCACCCCCACCCTGGACCCTTGGGGAGACTCCAGCACAGACAGGGGAGAGAAGAGGGGAACTTGGAGTGATCAGAGACAGACCAACAGAGAGACACAGAGACCAGGCATCAAAGACAGGGACAAAGAGACAGAAATACAGAGAGTAGAGACACAACCCAAGAGGGGCGTACAGCAGCCAGCTCCTGCTAGGACGGTGGGCTACCAAGAGACCCCAGCCCCTCACTGGCACACAGTCTGCACGTCAGGGCGCCTGCAGAAGGGGCAGAAGTACTCTCCCAGCCTTGTCTGCCTGGTGGTCTCCGGAGGCAAAGGACAAGGGGAAATGGAAGTTTTTCACTTCACAGAGTCAGGGCTTCAATGCTTTTAAAGTAAACCTCCAGCCCAGTCGCGTGGGGCTCACGCCTGTCATCCCAACACTTTGGGAGGCTGAGGTGAGCAGATCGCCCAAGGTCAGGAGTTCGAGGCCAGCCTGCTCAACATGGTGAAACCCCCGTCTCTACTAAAAATACAAAAATTAGCTGGGTCTGGTGGCAGGTGCCTGTAATCCCAGCTGCTTGGGAGACCAAGGCGGGAGAATTACCTGAACCTGGGAGGTGGAGGTTGTAGTGAGCTGAGATCATGCCACTGCACTCCAGCTTGGGTGACAGAGCGAGACTCCATCTCAAATAAATAAACAAACCTCCATATGTTGATTTGCCCGAAGAATCATGTGTTGCTGCTTCAAGAACTTGTGTCTAGGAAAAGCTAGACCCACATCATGTCTAGGCCCTGGCAGTCTCACGCCTCAGCATTTAATCAAGAGAATTGAAAATGCATGTGCATCAAATAGCCTTGTTCCAGAATCATCTGAGCACCTTTATTACGAGTCTCCAACTGGAAACAGCTCACAAACCATGGTAGGGGCTAATCATGGAGTACTATACAGCAAAGAAAAAGGACAAACACCTGACGCACACTTCATGTGGAGTGAGGGAAGCCAGGCCCCAAAAGGGACATGCTGCACGACTCACTTTATGTGAAGTTCAAAAGCAGGCAGCCGGACACAGTGGCTTACACCTGCAATCTTTGCACTTTGGGAGGCTGAGGTGGGTGGATCACTTGAGGTCAGGAGTTTGAAACCAGCCTGGCTGACATGGTGAAGCACTGTCTCTACTAACAATACAAAAATTCTGTGGGCGTGGTGTTGCACACCTGTAATCCTAGCTACTTGGGAGGCTGAGGCAGAATTGCTTGAACCCGGGACACAGAGGTTGCAGTGAGACAAGATCATGCCACTGCACTCCAGCCTGGGCAACAGAGTGAGATTCTGTCTCAAAAAAAAAAAAAAAAAAAAAAAAAAAAAAAACCGCAAAACAAATTACAAATTGGTGGTGGAAATACCAGAGAAAGGTACTGACTGAGAAGAGACAGGAAGGAATGTTCCAGAGTGATGGAAACATTCTGTATCTTGATCTGCCATGTGGCTACAAGGTGTGTGTATATATATATATATATATATATATATATATATATATATATTGCAAAAACTCACTGATGTGTCCACAAGATTCGTCACATTACTGACTTGTAAGTTGCACTTCAATTTAACAAACATGGATGGGGTGTAAATGTAGAGGGGCATAAACAAGGGTTTCTTTCAACCACATCAGTAAGATGTGATTTCTCAAGACTGCGTTGTGGGTTCAAGGGTGTTGGGTATAGTATTCCGTGTCTGAACTATTATGGGATACAATATTTAAAAACACGGAAGAATAAAGAAGGAAAGGAACACATAAACACGTTTGCTTAATGTGAGATGGGCAGAGAGAGACATGAAATCACAAGGAAGTGGGTTCAAGCCTGAGAGGGGAAGAGAGACACGGGAGATATGGATGGGGGTGGTGGGAGATACCAAGGGGGAGTTCAGAAACAAAGTGGCAGGAAGAGGCGGGAGGGGAAACTGAGGCAGGAAGCAACAGACTTCACCGAGGGAGGTCACAGCGGGCCACCCCTCCTGGCCCCCAGGGGCCCCGACTCACCAGACAGCTGAAGTGTGGCCCGTCAAGCCTGGAGGAGGGGAGACACAGTAGTATGTCAAGGCTGCCTCCAGCCACCTGAGCCTCAAAGTGGTTGGGGGCTGATGGGGAGGAGGCAGCAGCTGTCACCGCCGCAGCCCTGTGTGAGGGACCAGCCCCACCACATTCACCCGACTCCCCCACTACCCACTGCTGGGACAGGAAGTAGGGGGGGTAGGGGGCAGGCAAATGTCCCCCTCCTCCCCAGAATTTGCATAGACATCCTGGTGGGGAGAAGCAGGGAAAGCGAGGGAGAGAAAGTCCCCGGAACGGAGGTGTGAGATGGAGAGGGAGCCTGGGCCAAGTGGGGCCTTGGTGGCAAGTCAGTTAAATGGGTCCAGCTTGGACCAGAGGTGAGGGATGCCGAGATGTCTGGGTGGAAAGGGGGAAACCCGGAGGAGACTCAGATGAGGAGGCGTGAGGAGAGGTTGGATGGGGAGAAAGGTGTGCAAATTCACACCCAGAGGCAGGGAGGATTCCTGGAGCCTCAACGGGACGCACTGGCGGTGAGGGTGGGGCAGAAGGAAATGAAAAGGCAGAGAAAACTGGAGACAGAGACACAGAGACAGGCAGAGACAGAGAGCAAGAGGCAGAACACGGAGAGCCAGGAGATGCCAGATACAGAGGGAGCAGACCCGGGGAGACCCGGGGAGACAGGAGTCGCAGACAGCAGAGTGAGCCCAGGAGGATGCCTGCAGGAGAGCACGCTAGCAAGTGTCCTGAGGACATGAGATCTTTGGGGACCAGGAAAGACAGGCACTGGGGGGATGGAGAGTCCGAAGTGAAGAGGGAACAGAACCCGAAGGGGCAGGAGAAAGGGCAGACCCCTCCCCTCCTCTCCCACGCACCTGCCCTGAGGAGCAGAGAGACCGCTGCCCGTGGGGTGGGTGAGGCCCCACAGAGGGGCAGTGCAGGTGGGGACCCCGAGTGCAGGTTTGGGGGCCCTCACTTACTGTGCAGCCTCCAGGGCGAGCATGGTGGTGCCGGGCGGGCTGTGTGCAGCCCGCTGCAGCCGCCGCCCCTATTTATATCTTGGCCCAGCCCCTGCCAGGGGGAGGAGGGTGCCCGCTGGCCACAAGCTCGGCCCTCCTCAAAAATCCCCTCAGGGAGGGGGCCAGGGGAGGGGGCTGGATTGCACAACCCCTTTGTCACGTGGCAAGGAGGGCAGGCCAGGGGCTGTCTGGATTTGGGGATCCCCGTGGGCTGGGGTTGGGGGGCTGACCTTGACGGGTAGAGATGGGACAGAAGCTGGATTTGGCCCCACCCTGAAAAAGTCAAGGGCTGGGGTTCGCTGAAGAGGGGAATCAGGAAGGGGAGGATCCGGACCCAGAAGCTGAATTCCAGCAGGGGCAGGCTGGAGGCCGAGGGCAAGCAGACTGTCCCCCAGGGGATGGGTGAGGTGACTGACAGTGTCTGAGGGCAGTCACAGGCCGCGGGGATAGAGATGGGAGTCGCTGGGGGGAAACCCAGACCCGAAGCCCATTGCCAGGACCCCAATGTGGAAGGAAACATCGTGGGTGTGTGACCTGGCGGGGGGGTCCTCTTGGCCGTACTTGGGAATGGAAGCCTTGGGGCCTGGGGCTGCCCCAAGGCCTGGAGGAAACAGGTCAGCACCTGGAAGGTGGGGCAGCCACCAGGGTCCCCAGGGTCAACCCCAGGGAGGGCCGGGCCAGGGCCAGAGCCAGACACCTGGGGCCCTAAGCAGGGCAGAGAAGCACTGGTGCCAGTGTTCATTCAGGGTCAGAGAGGAAACTGAGGCAGGCTTGGCCCACATGAACCAGGCAACACAGGTAGGAACCCGGGGGGGCTTCTCCTGAGGATGAGGTGCAGTGGGGGCCTCAGGAGGGTCCCAGCCAGGCCCAGGGCTTACGAAACCAGACCTTGTGCCCTCAGAGACCACAAAGTGCCATGTAGCAAAAGCCCAGAACTTTATTCATTCTCACCGGCCCCGCCCCGGCCCCGCCCCGTGGGATGCTTGCAAGGTCACCAGGCCTCGGGGCCGGGGGGCCCAAAACGCCGCAGGAGCTGCTCCTGGTCCTCCAGGTCCTTCCGCACCTTCTTGCGCATGTAGAATATGGGGCAGTCCCGGCTGCGGGCGGGGTGGGGGCAGGGTCAGGGCCAAGGCCCAGTGCCCAGCCTGGGAGAGGGGTGGGGGCTGTTCCCAGGACTTTGGCCCCTGCCTGCTGCCCAGCCCACCTGCCCCTTCCTGCAGCAGGCTGTTTGTTCAGCGGGCATGGGGGAGGCGGTAACAGCGGGTGCCCGGCCGTGTGCAGGCCAGGGCTGGCCGTATATCACCTGTCACCTGGCGTGGGAACCCACCCCGCCTACTCGTTCCCTGGGGAAAGCCCGGCTCCGCCCTGGGGAGGGGGCCAGGAAGGCTGGGTGTGTCAGGAGGACAGCCTTTTCCCGGGCAACACTGGGTGGGTGCCGGCCCTGCCTCCCTGAGCACCCACCCCCTCTGGGGGGCTGGGATGGGTCCATTTTGTGGGCAAGGACACTGAGGCTCAGGAGACCTCACAGCTAGAAGCGGATGGGCAGGGAGAATGCTTGGGAGAGGTCTTGGAGTGGAAGGCCGGGTCCATAACCCACAGGCCCGGGAGCGGGAAGGGCGGGGCAGGCGGGGGTCGGCCTCGGCGCACACCTGGTGCAGATGACGTCCTCGTGCAGGCTGCCCTGGCAGCGCTGGCACTGTGTCCAGAGACGTGAGAAGCGCTCCTCCAGGGCATTCAGATGGGACACCTGGGAAGGACGGCAGCGGCTGAGCAGGGCGCCCCGGTCGCCCCACCTGCCCGCTCCTCACCTCCCGGCCCTCTCACCTCCTTCTGATACAGCTCGGACTCCCGGGGCTGGCAGAACTCACACACAGCTCCTGCGGGGGAGGCGTGTCAGCACCGAGGGCTGGGGCCCAGCCAGGGCCTGGGCCACCTCATCCCTGCCCCTTCCCTGCCCACTGCCAATCCCAGCTTCTGAAACTCCCCGGAGGCTGGAGAACAACGGAGCGAGTGTGCCGGAAAAACTCCCCTGGGGAACTCCCGGGGTGGGGGCCGAGGACCCTCCGTGCGGGGTGGGCAGGGAGGAGCCACCGCCCAGGGGCCCGGGGCCTGCTGGGTGGCAGTGCCAGCCCGTGTGGTGGGTGTCTAGGAGCGGGGGTGCTGGCACAGGCAGGCCGAGGGGCAGTGGTCTGGCCGCTCACCCTGGTGGCTGAGCACGGTGCGGCAGCCGATGCAGCAGTTGCGGCGTTTGGCGAAGGCCAGGAGGCCGCCCACCTTGCCTGTGAGCACCGTTTTGCAGCGTGTGTGGTCCCCTCCTGCAAGAAGGAGGCAGGAGAGGAGGCGGGTGGTGAGCTAGTGCCCTCCCCTGCCCCCGGGGTGTCCCCAGCCCGCCCCCTCCCAGGGACCCCGTACTCAGCAGCACGGCCTCGGCGCGGCCCTCGCCCAGGATGGGCTCGAAGATGCGCAGGAGGGGCTTGGCCAGCTGCTGCTCCAGGTAGTACTGCGTGTCGATGGGCAGGCTGTGCTCCAGCACAAACAGTGGGTCCTGTGGCCACACGGCAGTCACGCCCGGGCCACCCAGGGAAGGGTGCCGGGACGGACACGGGGGACGGTGGCCTGGGGGTGATCGCGGGGTCTGGACTCTCGCATCTAAGGGAGGAGGGGTCTGGGGGCCCAGACCCCCAGGTCTGAGGGAGGAGGGGCTGTGACGTGGGGGATCCTAGGTCTGGGATGGGGTCAGAGGTCATGAAGGAGAAGTCTCTGGGCCACAGTCTGTGGGGCCCTCAGGTCACAACAGAAGGGTCAGAGTTCATAAGGGGAAGCAAGGATGAGGAAGAGGTTAGGAGGTCAGAGGTCATGGGCTAAGATGTGGGTCACTGCGGGTAGGGGTAGAGTGGGAGGATTATGAATCCAAGAGAACCCCCTTCCATAGGGGAGCAAGGGAGGCGTCAAAACAGAGGGGGACCTCCAGAGGGGGCCGAGGCCACGCCCAGGCTGCCACCGGGGGCGGTTCTCAGGGCCCCACAGGGCAGGGGAGGCCCCGCCCTTCCCGCAGGCCCGCCCATCTCGGAAAGCAGAAGTGAGAGTGAGGGGGCTGGGCGGGAGCAGGCAGCCAGGTGGGCCTGACCTCGGACTTCATGTAGGCGGCCACGCCCTTGGCGGCACTGATGATCACGTAGGGGACGCGGTCGCCCAGGCTGGGCGCACTCCCGGGGTCCCGCTTCCTCATCCTGCGTGGAGACAGGCGGCGGGTGGGTGAGGGCAGGTGGGTGGTGGGGGTGGGGGTGGGGGCGTAGGAAGTGGTGGGCCCAGCTGGCAGGAAGGAGGGGGCTATTTCTGGCCGGCCGCCCGCACCGAGGCAGGACCTCTCGGCCAGCTCCACGTGGGCCTGCTTGCCGGCGTAGTCGGAGGCCGCGCGGGTCAGCTCCTTGGTGATGACCAGCTGGGAGATGTCAATGCGGTTGCACAGCAGGTCGGAGATGACGTCCTGCGCGTGGGCCACCGCGCCCTCGGGGTCTCTGTGGGAGAGCGGACCGCACAGGCCAGTGTCACCAAAAGGCGCCGGGGACCAGGCTGGCGCCTCATGGCTGGGGACCAGGATGAGCTCTCAGGGCTGAGGCTCAGGGCAGGGAGGGGCCCTTCCTACCACAGGCTGCAGAGTGGCAGAGGCAGGGCCTGAACCCACAGCTGCCCAAGGCGACTCTTTCCACTGCTTCACCACCGGGTAAGAGCTGGGTCTGACACCTGTGTTCCCAGGGGAGAAGGGGTGGGGGTCTGGACCCCTGGGTCTGAGGGAGGAGGGGCATGGGGGGCTGGACCCCAAGGTCTGAGGGAGGAGGGATGGGGGTCTCGACCCCTAGGTCTGAGGGAGGAGGGGCTGGGGGGGCTGGACCCCTGGGTCTGAGGGAGGAGGGGCTGGGGGGGCTGGACCCCTGGGTCTGGGGGAGGAGGTGCTGGGGATCCAGACCTCTGGGTCTGAGGGAGGAGGGGCTGGGGCCTGGAACCCCGGGTCTGTGGGAGGAGGCCCAACATACCGGTCGATGAGCAGCCGGCGGAGCGAGGCGGTGACCAGGTTGGCCACCAGGGGACAGTTGTCCCTGCGCACAGCCTCCAGGCCCTTGCAGTCCATGCGGTCGTGGGCGTCGGGCCGGGAGGAGAAGAGCAGGCCTGCGTAGCGCTTCTTGCTGATGAGCAGGTACGGGAAGTAGACCTGGGGGGGAGCCGTGGCTGAGACCCCTGAGCCTGCGGAGGCTGAGCCCCAGTCCCTGCACTCCCCCAGAACTGAAGGCAGACAGGGTTCCAGATGCAGGAGGACGACACGGGAGCCACGCCCTGAACCTGGTGGGATGGGCCCCGAGACCCCGAGTGTGGCTGAAAGCGGCTCCTGAGGCCCCTTGGCATGCCGGGGCCCTCCACACCAGGGACCCCAATCTGAAACAGAGACAGATAAACCCAGAGATCGTCTCTAAAACATAAGAGCCCAACTCGGGAGACGAGGCATCCCCAGGAAAGGAGAGACTACGGCTGGGTGAGCCCTGAGGCAGAGACCTCCCCAGGCTTCCAGGCTCCAAGTTCAAGGCCTGGCACAAGAGTTCTCTTAAACCACAGGGAAAAAGTACAGTGTGAGGACTGGGAGGGTGGCTCAGGAGGCCGAGGCAGGAGGATTCCCAGAGCCCAGGAGTTTAAGGCTGCAGTGAGCTGTCAACTCCCCACTGCACTCCAGCCTGGGCAACGACAGGGCGAGACCCAGTCTTTTCAAAAGAAAATATGGGCCAGGTGCAGTGGCTCACACCTGTAATCCCAGCACTTTGGGAGGTCAAGGCAGGTGGATCACCTGAGGTCAGGGGTTTGAGACCAGCCTGACCAACATGGAGAAACCCCGTCTCTACTAAAAATACAAAATCAGCCAGGCGTGGTGGCACATGCCTGTAATCCCAGCTGCTTGGGAGGCTGAGGCAGGAGAATCGCTTGAACCTGGGAGGTGGAGGTTGCCGTGAGCCGA